AGTCTTGGCAGCCAGTATCCTTCGCGAACGCGACAGTGGCCTTGTGAATGCGATGCACACTGTCGCCCAGTGCATAAATCAGAATCAAACACGGGTTTAAGCCATTTCTTCAATATGTTTCAAGAACCAAACAGGTAGAGGCGATTTTCAAGAGTCATTTTCTTCCCCAAAATATTGGTAAGTGATTCTAAACCATTCTCTTTCAATTACCCATTACATTTCTTGAATTATCAACCTAAAATCTAGAGTTTTCATGGTAGAATTAGGGGTTAGGGTAGAAACTAGGAATTTCGGAAATTTGGAGATTTAGACCTCAATTTGAGGTCGGATTCCAAAATTAATTACATATTGGGGCTCGGGGGTGAATGGGTAAATGGATTTTGGTAAGAACCTCGGGTTTTGACCAAGCATGTCTGGGGTCGATTTTTCGACTATGGAGGAAAATTTGAGAAATTTAATTTATGCAATATAATTGATTCCTTTATCAATATTTGATATTTTTGAGTCATTTTTGAATAGATACGAGTGATTTGGAGGTGAATTCCAAAGAAAAAGCTGTGATTGAGAATTAAGTGGCCTTCGGAGCGAGGTAAGTGTTGTGTCTAACCCTAACTTGAGGGAATTAGGAACCTTAGATTACTTGCTAAGTGAAATTCATGTGAGCGACGTATATGCGAGGTGACGAGTACTTATGCGCCGCCAAGTTACATGTTTTCCATGTTTCTCTATTTTTCTTATATTGTCTCTTTCCTATGCCTAATTGCTACATGTTTATACCAGTGTTGTTAAATTGATCATCATTATCATGTTTACGGATTTTCTGTTGGTAATCGAGTGTTTATTTAAAAGTTGAGATTTATATTGTGAAACCAAATGTTGAAGTAAGGTTTGTACTTGTTATTCTATCTCCATGTTGTTATTTATGCATTTCATTATGGTAAGGGAGAGTGTTAATGCATGAAGGGTAATGACATGCCATATTGTGAGTGACAGTGCACAAAGGGTGATGTTGTGCCATATTGTGAGTGTTAATGCACGAAGGGTGATGTCGTTCCAAATTGTGAGTGTTAATGCACGAAGGGTGATGTCGTACCATATTATGAGTGTTAATGCACGAAGGGTGATGCTGTGCCCTGATATGAGAGTTAATGCACGAAGGGTGATGTCGTGCCGTTTTTATTGATTTTATGGTGAGATTGAGAGTAAAAGCACGAAGGGTGATGCCGTGCATTTTTTCCTTTACTGTATTCACTATTCTTGTTGGTTCATGGTATGTTGACTGCCCCGGATATCATTCTGTTGTATTTTTTTATCTCGTATTTCCCTCAGCATGTTCCCCTCCCGACATTTTCTGTTTAGTTCTTCATTTCTGTTATTTGTATATACACTGTTAAATTGTACAGGTTGATTTGTAGGTGCCTTGCCTTAGCCTCGTCACTACTTCGTCGAGGTTAGGCTCGACACTTACCAGTACATGGGGTCGGTTGTACTGATATTTCACTCTGCACTTTATGTGCAGACTTTGATACCGGCTCGGGTTGATCGAGATTTTGCTATTGGTCCGCTGTCCGAAGACTCAAGGTAGATCTGTCGGCGTTCACAGACCTTGAAGTCCCCGTCTATCTTTTCTGTTCTACTGTTTCTTTCGTTCAGACAGTTATATTCTTTCACACTATTACTTGTAGTAAATTCTAGAATACTCGTGAATTGTGACTCCAGATTCGGGTGGTAGTAATTAATTCAGTTTTATGATATTCCGCACTTATTATATTTTATTTTAATTAATTATTATTAATTAATGAATGGAAATAAGGAATTGGTTTAATGACTCTCTAACGTTGGCTTGCCTAGCAAGTGAAATGTTAGGTGCCATCACGATCCCGCCGATGAGAAATTTCGGGTCGTGACACACAATTAAACTTGTTTTCCCTCTCTTTTTTGAATTTTTATCCCCGAGCACCCACGACTTTGAAATCTTGAATCCGCCGCTGATCGTGAAACGTAAAGAACTTGACACTCACTTGATTTGGAAAAGAAATATGAAGAAATTGCAGGACAAACATAAATTTCATTGTCTAATAGAATATGCGATTTCATCTATTGTTGAATTTACATAGACTTAGATTTTTTTTTTTTTGTTATATACAAATATATCATCAAACTATTGATCAACTATTATTCAATGTCAGATAAAATTATAGTATTTAAACTTAACTAATTTTTAATTCATCTAGAATTGTGCATAATTTTGGTGAATCAACAATGGACTAAATCTAACATAGTCATATCCTATTCCAAATGTAAGACTTCTATCCCAGAGACAAATTTTTACGTTAACTACATTGTTAATAGATTAAGCAGTTAAAATTTTTATCAAACAAGCGAAGAAAAAAAGTCCAAATAAGAACTGCTTTTAGAAACTGATGTGGTACAATAAATAAGTTAAGATTGCACTAAACTGCTTCTTTTTAGGTAGTTGTTAGTGAAATTTATTTCTAAATAGTAAATCAAATTTTATATTAGAGACCTATTACAATTAATCAATCTAGACACTGTCATTAATGAATCTTAAAATAAGAAGAATAACAACATGGATCATTAAGGCTGAACCAAAGTAAATTTTTACATCACAAAAAAAAAGGTATTGTTGTATTCTTAACGTGATTTTACAACTTTAAACTCTAACTATGTGATTCCAAATAGTTTCGTTTTGTCCTGTGATTGCGTCAAAACCTTATTGATGGGTTTAATAGACTATTTTTTTTTTTAAGGTTAATGAGTTTATTAGACCATTCTGTTATTTTTTTGTTTTAAGGAACTGGTTATTAAAATTCGTTCATATCCATGATTAATTTTATAGTATATATGCAATTAAAAGTTTTTTATTTATGGTATACGTTATAATATTTGACAAATGATATTCGTGCATCGCACAAACGTAAAGACTAGTATATATATAAGCTTAAACGAATTTTATTGTTTTGGCATATAATGTATGGAGTATTACTACTATTACGATCAGTTTCTAACCACCTAAATCACCCACAAAACAAAGTTAAAAATTTTAAAAATATATATTATTCATTAGTTTTATCATTATGATAGGATACATAAATATATATAAAATTAAAATAAAATTGACTGATGTCAAAGATTAAGAACATAGAAATAGTATTTTCAAAGCTATACGATGCTTGGTTGTGACAATACAACATACATAAAAATTAATCTCAATGGTTATGTCATCTTTTTATTAAATTTTTACAACACAGTAAATATATAGTTCTTACTTTTAGCTAATAAATTATTTTCCTGACCCAATCCAATTTTTATTTATTTATTTACTTATCATTATTTATCATTATCATCAATTTAGAAAGAAGAATATTCTATTTATCATTAATTGGTATTTAGTGTGAATAAAGAACTCCCGTTTATTTTTTCACTTAATATATAAATGGAGACCACTAGATTGGAAAACGTTTAATTGCAGAGGAGTTATACGAAGTTGTAATAGTTAATGAAATAAAAATTAAACATGAAGTTATATAAGCGAACAATCTTAACAATGAAGACTAATAAATTATATTAAAAAAAGTATTAAAATAGAAACGAACTAATGGAATAACATTCTCTAATTAGTATAAGCTTTAATTATTCCTGTCCAAGTGCAATTTTATTTTAATTAAGGAGCAACTTATGATGACACAACATTTAATATTTAGCTTATAATTTTCACTTGATCTATGTTTTTACGTCAAATACTATTTTAATTTCATTTAAACACAATATTAACAGATAATAGTTATCTACTAACCATATTTTTATTATGTAATAATGTCATAGCATAGGATTTCAGGAATTTATTTATATGATAAAAAATATAATTTATTCATAAATTTGTATTATTGATGTTATAAACACGTGCAACGCACGTACACTTAAAAAAAAGGGACAGTCCGGTGCACTAAGCTCCCGCTCTGCGCGGTGTCCGAGGAAGGACCGGACCACAAAGGTCTATCGTACGGAGGATGTTTCCACGGCTCGAACCCATGACCTCCTGGTCGCATGGCATCAACTTTACCAATTACCCTAAAGCTAGTTTATTATATATAGTTATTGCCTTATATTTTGAAGGATTAGACTTTGATATTCCAAAAATAATATAATAATTGTCTTCGCGAGTATATACAAATCGCGTTACATCTTTATATATTGTTATTCTACTGTACCACTGGCACAACATTATCCAAGTCTTCAATCATTCAATTTAACCTACACATTATTTGCTATGGTACAAGTGATGGTGCAACAAACACATCCTCTACTCGTGTATACTAACATGAGCGTCAAAACTGCTAATTAAATGTCATTGTGCAAATTAGCTAACAAATAGCATCACAAATAGTTTTGCCTATTGAATGAAACTTAGGGCTCGTTTGGTATGAGAGATAACGAATAATTAATACCGAGATTAAATTTAAGATGAGTTTATCTCATGTTTGGTTGAGATAAAATCTGGTATAACTAATCTCGAGATTAATTATCCCGAGATTATAGTACTTTTTTATATCTATGGGAGGATGGATAACTAATTCCAAGATAACTAATCTCAAAATAATTAAAAATATGATAACTTATTTCCAATCAAACGACCCTTAATACTCAATTTTTGTATTACCTGACGGAGAACAATTCACAATTCTAACTTCTTGAAAGAGAGAAGCCAGAAAAACTCTATGAATAGAGTTCAAGGAGCAGGATAGCTTCATTTCATTTACATAAAAAAATATTTAAAAAAGAGCCTAAATGATCATGGGCACAACTAATTTCTACACTAAAATTGTATACAAAAAAAAAAAAAAAACCCTGTGCATTTGCTTAAAGTGTGAAGAAGAGCAAAAATAATAAAATAAAATAAAATAGTAAGTAGGAAATTAAACTTTTGGAAAATGAATTCTCAAATACTTTTCTATTACAATTTCTAAGTGACAGCGTGAAGCTGGAGTCAAATCTTTGAACGCCTCCTTAAACCCTACTCATTTTCACCCTTGAGCAGCACATCAAAGCTCATCCCCTAAACCCCAGAACAAATGTCTTCTTCCGTCGCCTTGCGCCACGCGCGCCACCTCTCAACCGCCGCTCCTTTGTCAGCTTTCAGCGCCACCATCTCTATATCCAAAGCAAAATCAAAGCTTAAAGCCGAGCACGACCCAGACAAAGCCCTAGAGATTTACTCCTCCGTTTCCGACCGTTACATTTCCCCTTTGTCCTCCCGTTATGCTCAGGAATACACAGTCAAGCGCCTCGCTAAATCCCATCGTTTTTCCGACATTGAAAGTTTCCTCGACTCTCACAAGAATAGCTCACAAATTACTCAAGAGCCTTTTCTTTCATCCATAATTCGTTCATATGGAGTCGCCGGAATGTTTGATCACGCGTTTAATATTTATCATGAGATGGATGATTTAGGCACCCCCAGATCAGCAATTTCTTTCAATGTGCTTTTAACAGCTTGCGTGCACTCGAAACAATATGATCGTGTCCCCCAGCTGTTTGATGAAATTCCGGTGAAGTATGGATTTTTACCTGATAAAGTCTCATATGGTATATTAATTAGGTCATATTGTGAAAATGGATCGCCAGAAATGGCAATGGAAAGGCTTAAGGAGATGGAAGAGAAAGACGTGGAGATTACTACTGTTACTTTCACTACTATATTGCACTCGTTTTATAAGAAGGGGAAGAGCGATGAGGCCAAAAGAGTTTGGAATGAGATGGTGATCAGAGGGCGTGGACCGGATGTTGGTGCATACAATGTAAAGATTATGAACATTCAGGGTGGTAATCCGGAGGGCGTGAAAGCGTTAATTGAGGAAATGAGTGATGCAGGGTTAAAACCCGATACGATCAGCTACAATTACTTGATGACTTGTTATTGTAAGAATGGCTTGATGGATGAGGCGCAGAAGGTTTACGAGGATTTGGAGTCAAAGGGGTGCAATCCAAACGCTGCAACGTTTAGGACTTTGATCTTTTACTTGTGTAAGAAGGGACGGTTTGAGACAGGGTATACAGTTTTCAAGGAGAGTGTGAGAGTTCACAAGATTCCGGATTTCAGTACACTAAAGTATTTGGTGGAAGGGTTGGTGCAGAGATCAAAGTTGAAAGATGCAAAAGGGATGAGCAGGACAGTGAAGAAGAAGTTCCCTCCTAACTTGGTAAAAGCTTGGACCAAGCTAGAGGAGGAGCTTGGTCTGGCTAAACTAGAAGCCGGTGATAAGAAGGTCAATCATACTTGTTAGGCTCAGTAGTTGAATGGTGATGGATGATTTTGTTTGCTGGAAGTGTTTCATACATTTCCATAATTTATGAGGGCTTTTTGATCATTAAATTTCTCTTGTTTATCATAAAGATGTGAGCTCACACTTGATAATTGGGTTCTACCATTTTTTGTGACCTTTATAAAGTTGATAAAGAGCTCTACACGAAGATTGTAAGCGTACTTTTGGATGATCTGCAAATGGTGAATTCTATGAGTTGAATGTCCTGTTAATCCATTGCTTTGTTCCTCTCAGTCTCTCTCAGATATCTTTCTCAGACGTTGTAATCATAACAGTAACTGGTGGTTAATATGAACGTTTTGATCTCTCTTCTGTAATGCCATTAATCAAATATGTTGCCACAACTTTGTCAAATAATGATGGTTTAGTGTTAGGTTCTTCCTCTACTGGTTAATTTTAAAGTATTGAGTTGCTCTATTCAATTTAGCTTTGAAGATTAGCTAAATTGATTATTGAAAAGAAAAAAATGACACTTCTATTGGGAAATAATATTTGATCTGGATATAATTGGATGTAATTATACAATTTTGAATTGTTTGATTGGCAAGTAATTAGCATGGAATTAGATATAACGAAATGTAATCCCTTTTCTCATTATTTGACAGAAAAAGGATGCCCGATGGCGAATTCCTTTCATATAACTGACAAATTCGAAAGGGGAAAAGAACTAGCTGGTAAGTCGCGTATCTACGCTCTCATAGTTTATCTCTCGCCATCTCTTTCGAGGCTTATAAATTTTTATTTCGGTTGTCACTAATTCATCACACCTTTCATGATTTACAGGGTTATGCCGATTATGGTCATAGTAAGGTCGAATTTCTTTTCGTTTTGCGCATCAAAGGTCAGTTTTTATTTTAATCACGGTGCAGCATTTGTTGTTTAGTACTTAATTTATTGAACAAAAAGTAGGGATTCACGGTGGGTCGCATGTGCCTTTACATTAATTTAATCATATTTCTTCTCTGCAATTTGCAATTGAAAAGTGCTTAATTGGCTCTTCCCTAATCCCTACACACGGAGTTTGCCTTTCTTCTTTTTTCTCCTTCCTCTTTTAGTTGGCCTGACTGATATAATAACATTTTTAAACCAAAGGTTAAGGTTGTGCATTGCCCCATTCGGAAACCTCGTTGCTCAGCTGTCACTGTCAACTCCACTTGTTCGTTTCTATTGTCTATGTATAGTACTAATTAAATATTTAGTCATATTTTAGTGGGTTCATATGAGAATCATCAACAATTTACCACTAGTACGTGGAATGATACAGGGTGGAGTAAATTTATGGAGGATATTTGAGATATCCATCTCTTTGTACTTTAGAACTTGAACTATAGCTGGGTTTTAAGTGATCTAAATTCTTCCAGAACGATAGCCGAATAACAGAGCTAAGTATTCGGATGTGTATTAAGTTTTCCAAGTTGTAAAAGGTGTAGAATATTTCACATGGTTGAGTGAATGATCTGTTGTCTCCTTATATGGTTTTGGGTAATTTTCACTTCATGAGTTAGCTTTTGCAGTAAAGTTAGGCGCAAACTTCATTTTCTTTATATGGTATCAGATCTAGACCCGTTCCTATTCTTTGTTTACCCAATGATTGGGATCTCATTGTTACGTTGTCCATGCTCCAATTCCAAATGCCCTGTCTTGTGTGTAATTGAACATCTTCGTTAACTTATACTGTATTCTGTGATGCTTTCTAAGATCATACTCTTTTATATGTAAAAATTGGAGATTTCATTAGATACAAGAGCACCCCTTGATTATTGTACAAAGATGAGATTTTCTTAAAAATAAATGTCACAATAAAGTAGGTGCACATTATGGTCCTTTCTTTGTAGTAATATATTAGCAAGCACCTTCTGGTGTAGACCTGGATAGCTGAACTTCATATATAGCTTCCATCTCTTCCCACTGTTCATCTGCATGCACAATGGGCTTTAACATGCAGAGAGGTGTTTAGCCCTTCATATCTTTTAATTTCAAGTAATGTTATATGGGAAAGAAGGAGGAGGGATCAAGAGCACGAATAATTGCTTAAGGTACAATAACTTCAATTTATTTAGCATCTCTAAAATGAAATCTAGACGTTCGGATATACATGTACGATACTATTGAAAATACAACTTCCAGGCTTATATTTCAACCTGTGGCGAACAGTTGAATTTATACTACTACTACTACTACTACTAATTACACATAAGAGTGCAAATCTTATGTACATATCAACATGTCTAGACATTTGGGCCAATATTTTTATTCTGAGAAGCATGACCAATACCCGGACTGTGTCCGGCTTTGAGATCGTTTACGCTTCCTTCAACAGTGTGCTTTGGTTGATAATTTACTTTTGGTCCTGAAGAAGAATGTCCAATACCTGGACTATTTCCTGTTCCTGTTGGTGTGTAGTTGATTTTTCCCGTAACTGGTGAAGTATCACCAGTAAAACTTTGCCTCCCAAGAGTTTCTTTTTCCATCGTGTTATCAGCAGAGTGAAACTCGTGTTTCTTCAATGCTTTCAGTTGTCTTCCCTCAGTCATTAGAACTAGGTGGAAAGCAATTACTGCAAGAAGGAAACTAAATACACAGATATGTTTGATACATGCCATAACTAGAGAGGCAATTTCTGTAGAGGTACTTAAAGGTGAAATGGCTCTTTGAATGCTTAATTTTTTTGCTTGTGAAAGAAGCAAAGAGAACTAGACACCACAGGAGAGAAAAGTAATGTGGTTTCAAGTGTTCTATTGAGATGATATCTAGCTTGGTCTTTGGGTGAAGAATGTTTTCCGTTATTGTGGTACCTGTGTATATATAGGAACGAGAACTTCCTACCCATGTAAGGTCATCAATATTTTATTACTCTGTACTTTTTCTAAAATTTAAAATTGTCCTCTTATAGGAACAATTTGGATGGTTCATGGTCCTTCAATAAGTTTGGAATGCTTTTAACTTGTTTTGTAAATGGCTCGTCACTGATCTTTAGCACTGTATTTCGTTGTTACTTCTTTCCTAGTTCTTTTGTGGTCCATCAGTGCTTCTTTCATTTCTTTGTCCTCTTTACAACTTGAGTTGCTGCTATACATATATTTTTCAAAAATAGGATTTAAGTTATATGATAGCAAAATTTTTTTACAACATAGTAAAATATAATTATACTATCAGGCGGTAGTAGATTTACTCTATTTTTCAGGTTATTATAGTTGCTATGAAGAGTTATTTGTTGTAGGAAGAAGGATAAGGAGCTTAGTTTACTGGATCTAAATTAACCCAATATTCTTAACATGGGGCTTAAATATATGTGAAAAGTTATTACTAAAGTTTTAACAAATATTAAGTTGTGAACCTATAATTATATTTCAAAAGTGCAGTAATTTCAATGGTAAGAACTTATAAAATGAATTCATTAAGTTTATATTCAGTATCCATCTCTGGTCATAACTCATAAGTCAACATTAAATTATGGTGTAAAGAATCTATATAATGTTAGTGCACCCAATTTACACTAAAAATATAATGCTTTGACCTGCTTGAGTCATGTGGTCGTTTGGCTGGCAAGTAGTTATTGCATTGTATAGTGTTTAGACTTGCAGTAAGGCTGATAGTTGGGTGTACAGTAACCTTTCTTTTTATTGATGCAGCTTTATTGTTTCTAAATAGCAAAGATAGCTAAAGATCTTCAGATTTTAGGCTTATAATAACAAAATATGTTCAGCCAGCCGTCCCACCACCGAAATTTTAACTTGAAAGATTGGATTCTTTAGTACTTCCCACTTGTCTGTGCTTAATGTTTTTTATATGGGTGGTTTATATGTAGGTTTTGACTCTTTTCAATACACAAATTTAAGTGAAACCCATCTTATTCTAGTTCATTTTAATTTGTTTATGGTACACTTATGCTTTTGAGAGAGTACTTCATGATTAGTTAGCTGTTAAGATTCCAAATCTATGATAATCATGATCATTCCTATTTCAGCTGTATCAAAAACCTATGAAGGGCGGCTAAGGTCGTTTTCTTATAATCTGCTAAAAGTTGCTTTCCAGAAAATTAAAAAGCCTTTTCTGCTCCTTTTCTCTCTATATTTTGAGCTCATTCTTATTTTAGTCCTTTTGTATCAAATTCGGCTGGAGAAGAGAACTTATGAAATAAGTATTTCTTCTATAGCTTGCTGCATACTTATTTATGCTCAATCATAACTATATATGCATTTGAAAAGGATATTCTTCATACTGCTGTTAAATCCAATTATATTTTCCTTTTGGATCTTGGGAATTCCCTTATAATGTTCATTAATTGCTAGTTGCTTCTCATTTGTTGGCTACTCCTATTCATTTTCTCTTTGCATTAGTATGAAATTGGAGCTCTATGTTTTCGTGGGATCAAATAATATTCTGTTGAAAAGTAAAAGCACCAAGATGCGCCGCACGCACGGGTGCCTTGGAATATGATTTCTGCTTAAAAGAGCACCAACCACTAACCAAAAAAGTTGATTGCTAATGGATGGCTTAAATAAGCTACGGATAGTTGACTGAAACTAAGTGATCATTAGTCTGGATTTTGATTTGTTGTGGTCCTTTTCATTTATATCTTCTACGCTTTGACTCTTCCTTTTTCTTGTCCAGAGTAGTAATATATTCAACTGTCATGACCACTTATCTTTTTTAGGAATTTTCAAATTGATGTGACACCTCTAATACTTTTACTTACTAGTACTATAGTATTAGTTTTATTTGTTTTAATAGAATTGTTTTAGCTTTCTGTTGTTGTCGCTGGTTAATTTGCTTTCCCTAATGAGGTATATCGTGGATTCGTGGTCTAAGGGATAATAGATATAGCTGTGATTATGCTCTTCCTTGATATCCTTAGCTCTATTTAGCTCATCTTAGTCCAATATTATATGAAATAAAATAAAAATAAAGTTATTACTCTTGCTTCTACTAGATAGTTCAATTTTGCAGCAAATTTGCCTGGTTCTTCCTGAACTTCAATGTTGGGTTTTGCATGCTCAATTTGGTGCCAAGCTCCTCTTTTTCTTTACCCCATATTTCTCTTTTCACTATGTACCACTTCTTTCTTTTTGTCTCTGATATTGTTTTGTTCTTTCTCGTTTTGGCTTATCATCTCATATTTTTTTCCCTTGTTTTTCTAGGGGGTGGGGTGAAGATCTTTTGTCTAGTGAATACTAAATTAATTTGGTAACTACAGAAGCCACCAACTTGTGAGGGCCCTAGCACTCTTCTTTGTCTCAAATAGGTTATTAAGTAAGTCAAAATAAACCAAATGATACCTTAGAAGTGGGATGTGCAATTCATTGACTGTCCATTTCCTCATTCTCTCTATAAACTGAAATTGGAAAAGGAGATTCTTTCAGTAAGGACATCTTAAGTTGGCTCCTCGAGTCCTGGAAGCCTCTCTTTAGTGCTGGCCCACCAAATTGCAGAAGACATAAATGATAGACTATATATATTACTACTAGAAAACAAAGAGCATTTTGTTTCAGCTTTTGCTAGGCTGTGATTCATGAGTGCTGTTGGTAGCTCAAATGGTTATTATAGTATAAATCACCTAAAAAAGACGGTATAAAGGATCTTTTGCATGTCTTTTGAACAAAAAAGGTTTATATATTTTTTAATGTAGTAGTTGCTTTTACCATTATAATTCATTTTTCCTCCTTTTGCATATTCTCAAGTTAGATGGTTAGTTACCCTTGCAGTTTTTTTGTTGAATATTCAGAGATGCGCCAACTACCAAGGCACATGTTAGAATTTTGGAGAGTGTGCAGATTTTGACAACTACGCAGACATTTACCAAGAGATTTTTTTTTTTTTTTTTTTTTTTTT